ATAAATAGCAGGAATTATCAAATAGTTCCGAAAAGCTACTCCTGAGGTTTACCCTAATTTCAAACCGAATTTTATTTTATCTATCTAGGTTTCAGTAGCATATCTGTCCCTCTCTTGGTACTATTTACTTACCCTTTTTCGATGGTGGAGTCGGTAAAAGGGAATTACGGGTGTGATTGGATATAAATTCAATCCAAAACAAACCAATCAAAACTCAACTTTAACTCAACCTCATTATTCTCAATATTATCAACAATACTAATCAATCATTCTTAGACATCACATCAAACTTTAAATCACTATCATCCACTCGCATAATTTTAACTAATCATCAATTCACATTATCTCCCTCTTACTTTTACACCAAACCAACTTTAATTATTTATTTTAATTATTATTTTTAATATAAACTCAAAATCTCACTAATATCTAACCATACCACCTTTTGCGAAATTAACCACGGTTAACAAAAAAAACCAATCAAAATCAAATCAAATCCATAAAAAAAAAAACAATATTCTGGTTATTTATTCTGTCATCTGAATGAAACGAATATATATGCAATATGCAAGATATTTGTTAGAATCGAACTTTAAGACCTGCTTGTTGTGTTTTTCTTTGTTTTTTTTTTTTTAACAGGTCCCGAGCACTCACACAACAAACGCTATTCCCGTCTCGTCAATTGCAATGGTTCAACAACAGCAACAGCTGGCCCAGATGTATCCCCAGCTTCAGTTTACCAACCTAATGCCGTATCGCCAGTTCGTATCTCCAATTTACGTTCCTCCAATGCCTGTCCCGGGCTACTCTAACAGCCCCGCCTATCCTCACCCGTCTAACGGCAACGGCTATGTGCTGATGCCCGGTAACAGTGCCCATCACCTAACGGCCAGCGGTGTCAAATATAGTGTCCAGCCGTTCAAGCCCGTACCAGCTGGCGGGCCCACTGCTTTCGGAAATTTCACTAGCCCAACTGGCTATACCATCAATACGGGTAATGATGAGTTGTCCCGGATAAAATATAAAGATAATCTTTATGTCCCGAATCCTCAGGTGAATTGACTGTTTTATTTTTTATCTTTATTTTTATTTTTGGTTCTTCTCCTCCCTGCTTGCTGAATTTTTTATGACGAAATTGTGATAAATATCGTCCGTTTGAGTGCATTCTCTTTGTTGTTATAACTCAAGAGCCTGACTAGACAATGAACCGTTATGGGCGTGATGGATATTTGGATCATGACCGGTTTTAATCGGTTTTGACCAATCAAGTTATTTTCTTTCCGATCACCACACTTCAAAACCAACACAACTCAACTCAACTTTCCTACTCTTTTTTTTTTTATTTTTTTTTTTATAAATATAATCAAACAATATCAATCAATCATCTTCACACATCACATCGACTTTATTTCATTATTCATTCACTCACATAATTTTAACTATCTATCACTCCCAATAATCTCTCCTGCTTTTTCATCACATCAACTTTAATCCTTACATTTTAAATATTATTTAATTACAAACTCCTTATATTGGATCATAACCGGTTGGATTTCATATCCAATCGAGCCCTAAATGTCCTATTAAAAACAAACTTGTTCCCCTTATATATATATATATATATATTTGTTTTATTTATCTTTTCCGATCTTTTTTAACAGGCGGAGACATCTGAAATTTGGATGAACCCAAGCGAACTTCAGTCGGCTTCATATTACAACATGCCGGGGCAGACACCTCATCATCCCACCGGTTATCTGACATCACACAGTGGTCATCATCATGCTTCTTTCACGGCCCCTCAATCTTCTCACGTGCAGTTCCCAGGTATGTATCACCATCCATCACCTCAGCCTGGGCCCATTGCTGGGCCTCACCATGTGGGTCCCAATATGGGTGGCAGTGTTGGGGTTGGTGTGGCGGCACAGAGTCCCGGGCCACAAATGGGTGCCTACCAGCAACCTCAATTGGGCCAACTGAATTGGACAGGGAATTTTTGAATGGAATATTTTTAGTGGGCTTCCGGGACTAATATCGGATATAGTTCAAATTTTGAAATTTTGTTGTTATTTGATGTGAAGATGTTGCTGTGTTTATCTAATCGATGTTGCTATGTGTTTATCTAATCAATGCATCCTTAGTTGTTTTTCGTCGCGTTCTTTTCTTTTCTTTTTTCTTTTCAATGCTCTCTTGAGTTTCAAAGTAAGTTTTTAGAAGAAGTGGTTTAGTTTAGTGGCAGGGTGATAAGCAATGAAAGAGAAGTGTTTTATCCTTGAAAGGCAGAGAATGAAGCATAGGGGAAAAAAGAAAATTAAATCTGTTTACTTTGATTGATAAACTTGAGCAGAACATATTAATTCAAGTAACAGATTATCTTTAACTTTGGAGTTATGTCAGTGAAAGAGAGGTTTATTGCCATACTTGGATTTGTAGAGCTTCCAGTTTGAAATTGATATACACTGGTCAACACTAGAAGTTTGAAATTGATAAATTTAGATCTCCCAAAATGTGAATAGATTTTCATGCCCTTGAATTTAATGTGTAACAATATATGATCTAACATTGAATGTACCCTTTTAAGTATTGTTTGCCAATCAAATACTAATAATTCAACAGTTTTTGTAAGATAGATGCAAATGCAAGGGGATTATATGTAACTTAAATTAGTTAGACAGATTTATAACAAAAATATCAGGTGAGAGACTTGGTGCCATGAACTCTCACCTTATGCTCATGGTTCGATTAGAGTGTTCAAGTCCAAAGATGGGTCTTAAACCCTAGGGTGGAGCATGGTGGAAGATCGTGAGTCCCCAATGCATTGTTAGTGGCTTATCGAGGGCCAGCAAGGCAGAAAGCTACCAGGGAAAAGGCTAACAAAAAATATCATTATGAAGAAAAATATCAACAACACAAACAAAATAAAATTTGAATGTAAACTATGGAATTATCTCTAATATTTCACCACTTATCGCGAAGTCAAAACAGGAGAACTCGAATGGAGTGTACTTGTGAACAACAAAAGATAAAAAGGCCAGTGAAAACTGAAAAGGATCTGCATATAGTTTTAAGTATGAAATAACCACACAATACTATCCAACCATAGAACATTAGAAAGTACATGAGAAAGAGTAGGCCTCAATCATCATAATCACCAAAAAAAAAAGGAAAATAAAAAAAACATCAAAAGAGCAAATAGTTCAACAGTGACTATTTCAAACAAAATATCTACACAGCCAACGGGACTTCAACTTCAGTTGCAGCCGGTGGCGGAGGAGCAATGTAATGCTCTTCTTCCTTTGGTGGATGAATTGTGACGAGATCAGGCAGAGGTGTAACCGGACCTTGCTTCCCCTTCGGGTCCCAATCGAGCATTATCTTCACTTTGATGCCAAGAACACCCTACAACACATCAATAATGTTCTATCCAAGTGAGATCACAAGGCTTAACCAGTAGAAAAAGGATCTGTAATAAAAACTACCCGAAAAAGTTGTACTAGTTAAATAGAAAGAACAATGTCGTAAATAGAAAATAGAAACTTGCCTGCCTTAGAAGAACATGCCTCACTGCAGAGTCAATGTATTCTTTAACAGGTTGACCAGAAGAAATCATGTACCCGTCCTTGAATTTCATTGCCTTGGCACGTTGAGCTCTAAGCTTTCCGCTAACAATTACCTGCATATTTGCATCGACTTTTAATTAAGAAATCAAAGGTGCGTGCAATTATATGCTGATTGCTGAAGGAATTAATGGAGAAATTGGTCAATACCTCACAGCCTTTGGCACCACTCTCCATGACAAATCGCAGCACCCCATAGCAAGCTCTGAAGAGAAACAAACAATCCATAGTGAGAGCCAAGAAAATGTGAAATTTTGAAGGCTTTGTAAGTGCGAGTTAACCAATAAACCATATTTAAAAGTTGTAGGAGAATCTTCCAAACTTCAAAGACACAGAAAGAAGTCAATGAAGCCTGACAAACTCCAAAAAACTTGCTATATGCATTAATGAGAAGAATCTCCAACCCAAGTTAGTGTAATGGAGATGATAATTAACAAATGCAAGCCATAAGATGTCAAATTTCAAATGGGATTCAGACTCCAAAATTATTATAAACAAAGTTTAAAAAAATAAATAACATGAACAAACTGAAAATAAACATAAGACTTCATTGTCTGCTATTTTCACAAATTACAGATTTTCATTCAGTGCACACCTAATTCTTCTAATTTGCTGCAACTTTTATGCTCCACAGAAAACTAGAAGTAAGATTTGAACAGGGCTAATAATCTCCAGTTCTTCAATATCAGCAGTGAGATGTGCCATTTCATGTGGGAGTAATTAGAAAACCCCATTCACACTGGAGCAAGTAAAGGGGCCAACCTAACTCCACAAATCATTATAAGCACCAGTTTCCATTCTTCGTCCAACAAATGGGTTTGGACAAAGTAAAACACAACAACCAATGCCTTATTTACACAACTATTACTTAGAAGAATTTGAGCAACTATCCACATGCAATAATGTTTACAATAAACAATAGAGCGATTGAGGTGCGAACCTCCGGACAGCAAGCCCTCCAAGAAGCTTATAGCGCAGGGACTCGGCCTGAGCAATTGCGCATAAGCCCCTGTTGTTAACTCTCTCGGCATAAAGCTCGACACTGTTTTCAGGAAACTTGAATCTCTTCTGAACAACAGAGGTTAATTCTCTAATTCTTCTCCCCTTCTCGCCTAACCCAGCAGATAATTCACATAAAGTAACCAATCAATATAACAGGGAAAAAGATTAGGGCAACCAACGAGTTCAACAAAAATGAATTCTAACAAAGTAACACAGAATTCGCTTAATCATTACAGCCTATAAAAATCGATCTAAAATCAACTAGCTATCGAGACTGATAAGCTCAATATATATATATAAATCCAGATAAATGAATTGGGGGCAAAGAAACTCACCAAGAACATTTTGCGTGCGAGTTGCCCTAATTATAATCTCCGTTCGGACCGGAGTAACCCTCACCTCCACGCCGGAGTATCCGTCCTCCGCCAGCTCCCTCGTCAGAAGCTCGTTCAGCTCAGCGAAAAAAACTCCGTCAGCCACGAACTGATACCCGATAACAATGGATTAAGAGATGGATAAAATCGTATATAACAGGTGAAATCAGCTCTGTACAAGTAAAGCGAGGCTTGTGCGTGAAAACACAACCACGCACACATACCTTTCGTTTTTTGCTCATCTGAGTAGCCATTTTTTTTAGTGTGGAAGCTTGGAAGCTGAGAGAGAAAATAGAGACGGCGGCTTGCAAATGTGTGTGGTTTGTGCGCAGGGTTTAACGGGGCAGTGAGGTATATAATATATATATATATGTGTGTGGTGTGAAGGGGGATCTATTAGGGTTGACGAAGCGGAGCACGATAGAATTCCCTCGTGGGTTTTATCTATTGTGCGCCGATGTGTGTGATGATTGTCTGCAGTTTTAGCTTGTCATTTGGATTATGGGCCATCGTATATTGAAGGCCCAATTATAGGGTTAAGTCATTGTCTTTTGGGCGTGTTGTACATTCTCTAAATTTATTGCTAACCGTGTTCAGTAGGCCCAATTTATGAGGTCCTTTGGAAATGGCCCAATTTATGAGGTTCTTTAGAAATGCCTAACCAAGGAAATCGCGACTCACAACTAACGCCCGCACCGCAGCCGATCGATCGCCGGAAAAATAACTCAAAGTTTTGCATAAACGAACAATCGGTCAGTCATCTTCGTTATCTTACCTTAACTTTCGTTTTGCATGCGTTTGTAGTTTCACAGGTTTAAGGTTATGGCCGAAACGTTTCCATTTGGAGAAGACGTTTTACATAAATTGCTTCAATTTGGGTACATTTGAATTCCCAAAAGATTTGATTCAAATTGGGTTTGATTTAGATTTTTATAATTAGCTGCAGCTAGGGTTCAATTATATTTTATAAGTTTGTTTTAATATGAGATTTAAAAAAAAAAAATCGAAAATTTGCTTTAATTTCGATTTAATTTGATCTTCGAGTTGACAGATTTAGGGTTACCCAAATTAGTCTTCTCCAAGCATATGAATCACAGATATTCTCAGCAAATAACAATATATATTCTCAGCAAACACTTGACCTCCTTTACAAGAAGATGCATAACATTTGTTTACAAGTGTAGGCCCATGATATCCTGTTGTGAACCTACACATATATCTAACTATAGATTTGAATGTTGTCGATTTGAGAACAAAAGATTCTGGGTTTGAAAAAGGGAAAAAAAGAAAGAGTAAATTTATTTCCAGAATTATGAGATTATTTTAACTTGCTTTGCTGCTCGAAAATCTCCCTGTTATGTCAAAACAAATGAATGCAGCTTTTCGTTATCTATTTTTTGTAACAGTGTATATATTACACCTCTCTACATGCTTATGTATTTCTTTAATTGATAAAAAAATGTCTTCTCTCTCGATTATAGGTTAAGCTTATATAATCTCTAGAAATTGAGAATTGGAACGGGATGTTTTTATGGTTGGTAATTATCATCCAAGAATAAGTTTGATGTTGAAAACACACACTGTCACCCACACCCACACTCACACTCACACTCACACTCACACTCACACTCATATATATTATATATTTATATATATTTGTACTTTGTAGCTAGGTTGGCATTGTTGGGCTTAATTTGACACCTTTGCTATTAGTGTTGTTGGGAATATATCCTTGGCTATGTTTGGTATACCCAGATGATAAGTTAGCTTATAGTTTTTAAGTGGATTTCGAGCTTATAGCTGATAGCTCATGACTTGCGGCTGAAAAACTATCTTATATGTTAAATTTGTTTGGTAAAATTAGTTGATAAGCTAGCTAAAATAAAAATTTCAATAAGCTTATTTGAAAAGCTACCCAAGAAAGCTTATGAGATAAACTCGAGCTTTTTAAAAAAACTCATCCTACCAAACCAAACTTATTTGAATACAAGAGGCTTATAAAATAATAAAATAAGTTATAAGCTATCTTATATGCTTACCAAACACAACCCTTGTTTCTTCATTGAAGTGAAGCATTTGTACATCAGTCCGAAATGCCATGATCTTAGTTCACTCAAGATTTGTAATTGGTTGTTGAAGTCATCTGTGTGTGTGTGTGTGTGTGTGTGTGTGTGTTTATGCTAGTTACATTAGTCCTCATCTGCCATTTAATGCTTGTTTTGTTATCATTAGATCTTCTTCTTTGATCCCTAGTGAGAGTATAGATTTGTAGAGAGACATGGGAAAGCAACCAGTGAGGATGAAGGCAGTGGTGTATGCTTTGTCTCCATTCCAGCAGAAGGTGATGCCTGGACTCTGGAAAGATTTCACTGGAAAAATCGCGCACAAGATATCTGATAATTGGATTAGCACCACTCTCCTGCTTGGCCCTCTCGTTGGAACCTACTCGTAAGCTTTTGTTCCAAAATTTAATTAAATCATACTGTGTTGGATCTTTTTCCATTGACAATTTGGAGAACTACTATTTACGAGTTTATGATCTTTTGATTTTCATCTTCGTATTATGTAATTATGCAATTGTAGTTTGTAGTTGAATTAAAATAACAGAATCAGAGGTTGTGGTTATGAGTGTGATTTAGATAATGCAACAAAGTGGTTTTGGTGATATGATTATTGCAATACTAAAGACTGCGTAGGACAGTAGTACAACTATAATAATAATAATGTGAAATTTAGGAGATATTAAAGGTAACTGCATGTTGTCGACGAAATTTTTGCTTCCTATCACAATTATAATAACAATAATGTGAAAGTTAGGAGATATTTGGTTAAGAAATTCGCATTGTTCATTTGTTAGCTGAAGGTCTTTTTGGAAGATTTTTGGACTGAGACGATATAATTAATAACATATGGAAAATTGTCTTAGATTCTGCGTAAATAATCAATTGGTAATGTTGAAGGATGTTTGAATTTGTTTTTGCTTACAAGAAGCAGAGATAGTGTGTTATCAGGGAGGGAGGGAAGGAAAGGGAGGTTTAAGCATTTATTGGGTTAACATTGAAAATTTTGGGGCCTATTTGTTCTGTGGTGCCTATTTGTTCTTTAGTTTGTATTTCATATTTATAAAATTTCCTTTGACATTTTCATTTTCAATCTCCAACTGCTGCAGAATTGCACTAACCTGTTAGTAACAATTTACTAACAATTTAACTCAAATTTGATGTCTGTGCTATAAAACTTTCTTACGTAGGAGCCATGAGTTGTCTCCCTGAGTCCCTGGCATTTAATTTTTTTTTTTTTTTTTTTTTTTGACACGATCTGTTTTATAGTTAAGCTCTATATTTTGCACGTTCAATAAAGCTTGTAATCTTGTGAAGCAATTTTTAAGTTCAACATTCATGTGCTTGTAGGTATGTGCAGTGGTACCAGGAAAAGGAAAAGATGGAGCACAGATACTGAAGTTATTATTGCACCAATTCTCTCTCAGGAATACTCTTTGATTTTAAGTTTTGCTGTGAAATAATGTAATGCTGGTGGAGATCTTGTTCTATGTTAACTGGTCCTTTCGTTTCGATGCTCAATAAGACTTTGAATTTTTCTTGAAGTGTTTTGACGCTTAACAAGACCGAATTTTCTTTGTAGTACCCTAAAACTTTAAAATGGGTCGCACATTAAGTCGTGCATTTGCTTAAAGCTTGTTTGATACTTGAAGCTTGTTTGATGTGAAAGAAAAAAGTTGCAACGGTTAGGAGTTGGTTTTGTCATGTGGCGTAAGAATCGGGGAGATTTTTATGTTGACTAATGTCTTGAAAAAATTTAGGTGCTTTCCCGTGCAGTTTTCGATTGGACTTTGGAGTAATTCTGAGAGAGTGTGTTTTCATGATCTGAGTTAATGGCAATATATGAAAAACAACCCCGATTGTATAGTGTTAGCTTGAGTCTAGCTAGTTCGTTTTCTGATAAGCGACTACACTACCTAATCAAGCTCATTTACTAAATGAGACAAGTTGAGTTTCTTTGAGAAAAGTTTGCTTTTTATATGAGTTTTATATATAGTGTTGTTAAATTAAACGAGGATGGTTCTGTTCGGCTCGGCTCATTAAGTCTCGAGTTCGAAGTCTGAGATCAACTCGACAAAGCTTGAAAAGATATTTCTTTATATAATTTTTTATCCTTCAGCTTGTTAAAGCTCGAGCTCAA